TTAACTTGCAAGCAAGCTGGAGAAGATGTATAGCAAATAGCAAGAAAGTCTATAAAGGATATTGAGGTCTTTCATAAATACCTACTTCGTTGTAAGAAAAGTATAAATCTGATTAGTAATGGAACAGAGTTGTTCTTCATGTTTCCCGTCTCCGGGTCGAATATGTATTTCAGATGGTTTGGCTGGTTTTGGGTTTCACCGCGCATTCTTGACCTTATCTGTTGGGAACATGAGCATGAGGATAGGCATAATAATAGACTAAATTTTGCTGCTATTTCTATAGGATACAAGTTTGATTACCACCGAATCGACTTATATAATCCTGGAAAACTATGTTCTCATTTTGGAATTACAGCGACAAAAGGTAAACGAGGCTATTTCCATCCGATTGTTACTAATCTTAACTATTTGTGATTTGTTTTCCCGGAAACCAAAAACAGTATAAATAATGTGCTTACGAATTTTTTTAAATATCCCAAGGGCCTTTATGTTTTATGATAACCCTTTTCAGTTACCTTGGCAATGTAGAAAGCGGGATCAACAACCGCTAGCTGCATAAGTCCCAATTTATCTCAAAAACTGCTCGTTCTTAATAGTCCCAAGTTTGCACATCATGCTCTTTGTCTTTGATAGACACAACAGTGGTTAAGTTTGCTCCAGGGGCGTACAAAGACCCCTACAACTACATTGGTATGGATGAAACAAAAGCTGATGTTGAGCTATTGAATGCTTATATGAAAGATGAGACAGGAAGAGTAACCAATCCTGGCCTGAAAAATGATATCAGGGGCACAGTGAGAGCAACATGGAAAGTGGAAGACCTGTGGCTGCGTGAAAAAGCTGACCTCACACAATATTTGGTTTGGCGTTACATTGGGACATCAAATGGAGTTTTCAGGTCCACTCCAGGCGGAATTGAAAACAAACTTTACGACCCAAGACAGAGAACCTGGTTAGTAAGGCAATGTTACCTGTTATTAACAAGAGTCTAACCTTGCATTTTTTCCATACACTCGTTGAATCGGGTTTATCAGGTCTTCGTGTCGTATCAAAAACTGGCCATAGCTTTTGAAAATGTACTTCTATTTTTTATCAGGTTTGTAGTTTACTTTAATAGACACAGTTTAACAACGACCACCTCTTAACAGTCCGTATAAATAAAATATACATTATATTTACAACCAGCACCATTCGTATTGTGGCTCGGTTAAACGACCGTTAAAGCCATATTTTCGACAACGTTTCAATTAAAATCAACCTCTGATGATAAACATTTGTTATTATGACTGGATGAGTTGATCCTTATAAAGAAAGAACATAATTAAATCTTTGGACTGATTTGTAATCCCTTTAGGTATCTTACCGCCCTGTCTCACACAGGACTGATAGCTCTTACAACTCCATACTTTGATTTGGGAGGAGCTGGAGTAGTGATAACCGCTGGCAGAACCTTGTATCGCGGAGAGTCGAGTCACGTTCACAGTACCAATGATGAAGTGTTGGGAGTTATGGGGGCTGACTTTCCCATCACGTATTTCCATAGGTACATAACTATTATATAGTCGTTACATCATCTTGTTACTATGAGAAAGAAGCTATCTTAATCACGAGAAATTTCTTCTTAACGAAATGCCTGCTATAACGTGAAAGAAACTACAAAGCATAAGCATGGTAAGACAGAAAAAATCCCAAAATTTGACGTAAACCTTAAACAAGGCACGTAGTCAAGCAGGGAAAAGACCGCCGTGAATTGCAAACAGGCAAACTTGAAAACTTTTCGCGAAATTTTTAAGATGTAAAACTGTTGGAGAAGCAAGAACGCAACAGAGAGAACATGGAGTCTCACGAATGAAATAAACACTGTCTCAAACGTTCCCCAATAATATTTCATAACAAGTGTCTTCATAATGTATCTCACTATATTTATATCTCATTAAATACAGGTTACTAACTGATGTGTATCCAAAATGTAAGGAGACCAAATCATACTCCTGTTTCGTAATGGACAGCGCTGGCTTTCTTATCATGCACGAGGACTTCTTACTTCCCTCGGCTACAGCGTCAGACGTACAATATGTGCATATCACAGAGAAAGAAAAACACATCGCCGAAGACCTCATCAAGAAAAATTACTTGATAAAAAAGCAGTGCCGCCATCTGGATGAGATTCAGAAGCAAAGCTTTTATGAAGTTAACCTGACAAAAATTGGAGTAGACACTCTTGCAAGTGATGTAAGATGCTCGAAATACCAGCTAAGACAAATCAAAGGAACCAATTCCTACTTAGGTATGTCATACTTTAAACTATTTCGTCAGGCCCCGAGTTCTCTCCGAGTCCGTCTTTCCATCTTTCTCTGTTTGTTTGTTTTCCTTCTCTATGACTCTCTCTGTCTGACTCTCTTTGTGTCCTTCCTTCATCCTTCTCTGTTTGTCTGCTTATTTCTGTATCAGTTGGAATAACTTAACACTTTTTTAAATTCACAGGAGTTGCTATAAGAGACTCATTTTGCCCTCCAGAGGCATGTCCCTGTTCATCAGATAACGAGTGCTTTCTTCTTAACCCTACGTGCGAGTGCCCTTGCACCTCCCGCCTGGAGTTTCATTATTGTCGCAACCTTTTCCCCGAAAGCAGGTTAGTTGCTGTAGGCACCTTGAAGCAGTTTGATAAAGCTAACATTAACGTGCATATGGTGAAACATTCAATACTATAGAAATCAATTTATGATCCTTAAGATCAATAATCAAAATTCGCTGTATGCCCTGTAGACCGCCCTTCCAAATGAAATGGTTACAAAAACTTCCGATACGAAAAACTTGAAAAATCAAGAATACAGTTTTTAATCGGTGTATTATATTATATTGAATACACTGTATTACGCGTATAATTTCACCTAACTTATTCATTCCAATCTCCAGCCTCCCAATCTGCCCACCTCCATTACCAAGTGCTAAACCAACGAGTGACTCTACCCCTTCCTTTCCTTGCACCTCCGGATCTGGGTTAGAAAAGTGTTTCATTCCTCACTGTGGTGAAAGGAACACTTCACAAGAGTGTGAAGGCGTTGTGGGATGCTACTGGTGCAAACACGACAAGGATGATATACCACTGATTAAACCGTACTGCGCTGCTGCTGAGGTGTGCTTCAGAGGAAAGGAAGGTCAGCCTCTACCTTATTTGAATATAATTGGTCAACCGATAGAATCATATTTATCAGCGCTCCTAGGGTTTAACTCCCACTTCTACCCTTTAGCTGCTGCAGATTTCATATTTTACAGGATTAAGAGAAATTTAAGTTTAATTAATTTTGTCTGTTCCCACTACCTCATTATGCTCGATCACGTATCGAAATTGCAAGGAGACTGACGTTGCTCGTGTGTCGCTTGAAAGTAGTTAAAACGAGATTTTTAACCTTTTTAATCGACAAATTATTCCAAGAAAGCGCCTTAACAATTTTCTGTAATGCCTTTCATTTACAGTTGAACAAAGAGTATGTCCAACTGATCTTCCAGGTCCAAAACCATCAAGCCCTATCGATCGAAAAAACAGCAGTAAACTGAGCGATGATGATGATTCGAATCAGTTGTCGTCTGGAGCTATTGCTGGGATTGTCACAGGATGCTTGTCTGCTTTAGCTGTGGTAGTAATAGTTTCGATCTTGGTGAGGACTGAACATATATCCGAACACTTTATATATTTTTTTATGGGTTTGATCCTGTTACAGTAGGAATGATGATTTGTAAGATACATCTATTCGTTACTACCCAAGACTAAGAATAAAGGCATTCGTTCCTATTTTTATCTTTTCAAATTTTATAAATTGCATTTTCTTTATGTTGATTGTATGTTAATCTTTATTAAATTTCGTTGTCGGAAAAATGGAATACTTGCAACCGACGACCACGAGACGGATAGACATTTCACAAATGGCTGATGTGAAATTTATTTTACTTTTTGATTTATACCAATTTCGTAGCTTAGCATCTTTTTCCTTTAATTTTTTTCCCAGGCGTTAAGACATTTTCGTAGCTACAGTCAACCACCCACCAGAAAGGACACCAGCGCATCCACGGAATACATCATAGATCCTGAAAACCACGAGAACACCTCTAATATCACTAAACGTCCACCAGCACCTCTTCCTCCAGAAGCCCAGACTCAATCTTCCGACTTCGATGAATATTATGAAGAACCTGACGATCTAAGGCGATCCCACCAAGCTTCAGTTGATTCCACTCCATGGCCAGCACCCTATGAAGAAATAAGGGTCCGAGAAAGTAGTAAGCCACCACCTACACCAGAAAGGAAACTATCCACTGTAACAACTCAAGGTTTTCATCGAACTACGAGCCTTCCCCCTTCTACTAATGACGGAAGAGGGAAAACTCTTGGAAATCATTCTGTAGCTCGAACGGTGAGCACATCTGCGACCCACTCCTCTGGGGCAAGGTTCATTGGACCAATAAAAATGCATTCAATTGAGAGCAGACTGCCTGAGATTCCGGAAAAGAGGCGTCCATCTGTTATACCCCCACCACCGTCCATCTCCGCGGAAAAGCTTTCAATGGAAGATAAACCACCACAAACTGTTTCTCCTATTGTTCACGACAACCAAGAGCGTCCTTATGGAAACATATCTCAAATGTTACCTGCTCAGAATCACTCGTTAGCAACCAGCGCGTTGTCGTCTACTGATGACACAGCGACGCAAGATACGTTGCATGAGCCAAATCTTCAACATCGTGATAGTGGGGGTTCTATTTCCCTTGATCCTGATGGGTATATAGAATTTACCGGTCAGATTGCGGCCGTGCAGGACATTTAAAAAGGAAACAGAAGTAAAGGAGCTTGTGTATGTGCACCTACAGCTCACGCGTTACTTTGTCCATCGGACAGTAAAAAATGACGATGTAGAATTATACTGATAGAGGCGAATTTTGTTTATAAGAACATCAAGTTTTAAATCACGCCTGGTGCAATAAGATAAATATCAATTCGTAAGCTTTATTAGAACACACAGCGCGAGGGGAAGATATAAATGATACACAGGTTTCACGTTGAAAACAGCTTTTAGAGACTGATACAGCCTGTATCAAGAAACTCTTTTACTCTAATCGATATCACTGAGAGTGGTAGAAACAGTAGGAGGAGCAGCAGCAGCGGCAGCAGCAGCAGCAGCAGCAGCAGCAGCAGTAGTAGTAGTAATAGTAGTAGTAGTAGTAGTAGTAGTAGTAGTAGTAGTAGTAGTAGTAGTAGTAGAGTCACCACTACCGACAACAGTCCTTCTCAGGACTACGCTCACCCGAATGATCTAACTACACTATTACAGTAGTAGTAGTAATAGTAGTAGTAGTAGTAGTAGTAGTAGTAGTAGTAGTAGTAGTAGTAGTAGTAGTAGTAGTAGTAGTAGTGGTAGTAGTAGTAGTAGTAGTTTAAGTAGTAGAAGTTGTAGAGAGGTAGAATGCAAGAAAGTCTCATTTTTAAATCAAAACGGATCCTTCTAATCGAGGAGGTTAAAGCTATTAAATAGAAATATCATGAAATGTAAATTAAAGGTTAATAACTTCGACATTTTTATCAAGAGCAATCGTTTTACATGATTATTCAATAAGGCTTCAAGTCAGTTCACATTTTGTATAGGTACAGAATATGTGGACCCAAGTGGGTTCAACAATTCCGTGGTGATCTCTCATTAGCACTGAGCACTGCAAAGTTGCTTAAATCTAGCCTCTGCAACACTGTCTATCTTTAAGTCCCCAAAAAAACAGCTTGTTGTTATCGTTTTGCGTTTAACGCCCGTAGATAAATGATGATCGTGGTACTAACGCATGCATGGCTTAAATTGATCACAAAAATCTCTCATGCACACTGAGAAAAACTTCCTATCTTAGTCAAATTACATTACAATATCCGCAATGAATGTTACAATTTTGAGTCCTTAGCATAAATTGCTTGCGGCTCCCCAGCGACATTCCGAGCATGAATACATTCTACATAGCCAAGATCGTCGTTGGTATCTTCATCTTCCTTTTCTTCTTCACGTAGTGCTCGTGCAGCTCTGGCTGTAGATATTGTGTTGCTGTACATTAACTCCCCTGCTTCGTTAGATTTTTGTGGAAGACTGGCAGTGGACAGTTCAGGAACATGGGCTAATATGGGGGGGGTGATATGAGAAAAACCTCTTGCTCTGGGAGCTAACGGTGGTGGACTTTCATTAGACGTCAGAACTCCAGAACTGTCAAGAGAAAACTTTCTTTTCATGTTCTTTGCCGGTTGAACACCATGCTGAAACAATCCCGGATGTTCTATGGCACCAGATGGTCTCCTTGTCAGGGGAACAGGAGGAGGATTGTACACCGATTGTTTCCTGACCGCGTTCCTCCCGGGAATGACCGGTTGTACGTGGGCAGGATCAGTTGATTCAGGAATGGTGGGCAACGGAGGACTGTAACTTGGGTTTTGTTGTCGTAGCACTTCATTGTATGAGGGTGGCCCGGGTGGCATCATAAGATCTCTGGGATCCTCGTAATCGTGTCCTTGGTTCCCATGGGACATTTCATGGTCGGTTAACTGAGCTGCAGCGCTCTTTTGTGTGGAAAACGTCCTCACAGGGCGTGGTCCTGTATTTTGGTGACACTTTACAACCTTGGAAAGAGCAACCAAAAGTAAAAAAATTATAGTTCAACAGTGGAATTTTCAAAGAAACTTTTTGCATGCATGGCAATAATGTACTTCTTGAAGACCTTTAGTAATAATACTGCATAATACTGTATCATTTTCAATTAAAATTTCCCGTTTAGACTCCTATTTGATACCATTTCAAATTTCAAGGAGACTATCAATTTATGAAGAGACGCGCTCACTGTGTTCTGTAGAGTGAGATAAGTCATCTGACCTGGAATCGAAACATCTGAAGCTCGAATCCTAGACACGAATGCGGAATGAGAAATAGTTCCTTTGTCCCGTGCTTTATGTTTTTCTTATTTAGCAAGAGAAAAATTTCTAAAAGTATATGAATATAAATTATAATCATGTCTACGGCATCTCACCTTATAAATTCCAATCAGAATCAAAAGTGCAAATACACATCCTATGGAAATTCCAACAGAGGCAGCCACCGATAAACCTTTAGATCCACGATCTGTTGAGGGTTGGCAAATTTTGTCATTTTGCTCATCATCTGTCGAATTAATGGGAAAATTATCAAATCTTTATTATAAGGTTGTATAGAAAATGCTAAGACTATGATTAGTCGTCTCAGTCAACCAAGTACATTACCCTGATCTTTATTAGCAGCTTAACAACTGAAATTTGTTAACACGACGTTCATCCACAAGGTACCGGAAGTCGAGAAATAATAGTTGTTAAGGACCTTTGCCATTTAATCATTGCTAACAAGTGAGAGATTTACCTGCCATAATCGCTTCGACTGGGTATACGTTTCCATTACACTCTAATTTAAAATTTATTCAAACATGCTCTGAGCGATCGCGATGAGTGGATCTTATTTGAAACTTACATTAAAAGAAATTAATTAAAAGAGGCGACTTGTTTGGAAATTCAGCAATTATCAGCGGGAAGGTGTGGTCGGGCCGCAAGGGGAAATTCTTTTTGTTTTTAATTACGTAATCGAATCATACGGGCTACCGATAATGGATAACATTGAAAAGCTTTTTACCTCTATCAACCGGATTTTCTGTTCCTCTGAAACATTTTTCTGAGGTGCCGCAGTAAGGTTTTGACAACGATATACCGTCTTTGTCTTTCTTGCACCAATAACAGCTTACCAGTCCATCACATGTTCTTTGCTCATCCTTCTCTCCACAATGAGGATCAAAGCATTTTTCAAGACATTTTTCACTCTTAAGAGTAGAAAATGAATCAAAATCTGCTTGTTTTGGTCCCAGTGCTGGGCAAATGGGAAGACTGAAAGTACATGGCAAAACAAATAAACAATGGCCTCTATTTGGCTCGAAAATATATATATATATGTAGGATAATTGAGGGAAATAGTAGCAAATGCTGTTGGAAAGTGCTCAATACACATGAGTGTAGAGCGAAATACAGTTCAAAATGACTAAAATTGAAATTAAATCTGTCTGACGAGTGCGTAAGCACGAAACTCAGAGTTACAGGGAATCATGCGTGTTTCATTTTAGTCATTTTGAACTACATGTAGGATATTTATCCGCGGTCATAACCAACGCATCAGAAATAAATTGAAGAGGAATCAAATTTCCCTTCAACTCGACCGAAGCCTTCTATTTACACGCCATTGCCAGCGTTTTCTGAATAAAGTATTACGAACACAATAAATTAAGAACGGTAGAACTAATTACAAGATGGAAATAACATATGAAGTAACGGAAACTCTACGAAAGGGCAATTTACCGGACGATTTTGGAATACGGCTGGCATAAGAACATACTCGCGATAGCATTAGAACTCGAGATCACACTTTTTTATTTTCATGGTCCGCGAGAAAGTCAAACTGGTATGGATGGCCGCGCGGATTGAGGCTAGGCGGGGGATTGGTTTCTACAGCGGTCGTTATCGTTTCCAAGATACGAGCAGTTTTCCAAAACCGAAGCTTGAGCAAAACTGTGAGCTTCGATAAACAGATAACATCCATGGAAAAATATATGAGCATATTTTGGCATAAAATAGGTTATTGTGTTTATTATCCTTCAAATATTTTGCCACGCGCGTAAAAATGAAAGAAATGTGTGCGAACGGCTAACGGTTTGCTGCTTGGGAGGTGCGTCTTCTTCTTCAGCAACAACCATAAAACCTTCTCTCTTTTTGGAATAAATTTTAAACAAAGATATCGTAATGGACGTAGGGTTTGAAAATTGGGGATCATCACAAGGGTGATAGCTGGGGAATATTTGGTCACGTGATACGCTTAGATCAATCGCGCGCGACAAAAATATTTGATAGATCATAACTAAGATCATAATCACGTGAAGAATTACGCTCGATTCAGATAGATGGTGGATCAAACCACGAAAAAATAGATATTGAAATAACTCCAACCTGCTATTGGGAAACTCTCCAAGACAATACCGAAAAGCAAGCTTGGAGTGACATGGACATTCACAGGAGGATGGGTTTAGACACTGTTTGCCGGAGGAACAGGTGCATTCGGCTTGTGAAGAACAGATCGAGTCTTTGACAGAAATTCCTGCGAAAAACGTAGCACAAAACTATTGTTTCTGTTTATTCTGTATCATTGGCAGCGAGAAAAAATCAGGCACATAGGCTCAGTTGTTCCAGCGTCGATGGAAAGGGTAAAATTCAAATATACATGTGACTTAAGTAATGATCAGGATTTCAAAAATTTCACAATGGTGATATAGAAAAAAGGATTTGTAAAGTATGTCAGAAAATGGTAGTTCTCATGTGTCAAAAATTGAAAAGGTTTTACCCCAAAACCAAATGAGCCTGACACTTTCCAAATCTCAGCTTATTTTAGGAAAGTTCTCAACACCAATTTCAACTACCACTCAGCCTATAGGGTAGTGACTTATTTACATTCCATTCATGATTTGAGAAAAAGTATTTGTAAACTTGGAGAAGATTAGAGTTCTTTTTCATATAGTTTATCTATCTACAAACCTAAATACACGTTTGTTCCTCCAATTTTTCCGAGTTGGTATCGGTTACAGCCCCCAACATTGTCGAGCGCATCGACTCCACCATTTGGTAAAGTGACTTCATAAAATGTTTGCATCTGTAAGTCTTCCAGTTTGCGACATTCCTTTTTCTTCAAGTATCCGTTTTGGAACATGTGTAGTGCTATATGTTTCTCTTTTTCGGTTATATGCACATTCTCGACTCCACCTTCTTCTGAGGCCGAGGGGACCATAAAGTCCTCGTGCATGACCAAGAAACCAGCGTCGTCTATTATAAAGCACGAGTAGTCTTCAGTTTCTCTGCATTTGGGGTAAGCATCAGTAAGCAGCCTTTTGGATTCGAATAGACGTGAAAACTGTCGTTAACTTTTGGTTAAGAACAACATTTTAAAAACATCACAAATTTTTGCAGATCCGCCTTTGTCTACGTTAAAAATCAAGAGAACTTGATATCTTTCCTGTTCCGCCTCGTTTGTTTGGGTGGGGTGTTTTGGTTTCGAAATTTAATTGAATGTTTCCTAACGAAGACCATCTTCACGTAACTGATGTCAACAACAACTGGGCTAGCTTTGCAGATGGAACGCAACTGCTAGATAAGTTGTGTTATATAAATCTATTTAAAAAGCTAATAAAATTGGAAAAAAACCAAGCTATCCGTTGTTGTGGACCAGACTTTAAAAAATTCGACTGCAAATAAATCTTCTTTTAAATGTGACGATATAATATCCGCCCAAATGGTCGAAATATCAGTCATTTTCGCCCTTTTAGGATCATCCTAACTATTTGACTCACAGTTACTTCAGAGATCAAAAGCGCTGTATTTATTATAATACAGGAATACCTGCAGTAAACAATTTAGTGTTAACAACTGAGTTGAAAACGTAAATTGACCATCGTAAAGAGTAAAAAAGCTGACGTTTCGAGCGTTAGCCCTTCGTCAGCGCTCTGACGAAGGGTTAACGCTCGAAATGTCAACTTTTTTACTCTTTACGGTGGTCAATTTACGTTTTCAACTCAGTTGTAACACTAAATTACCTGCTATACTCTTCCACAGACGCAGCACCACAGTTTCTTTAGAAACTTACTCCCTTTATCTACCTGCAGTAAGCTTACCTGTAAAAATACCTCAATGGAAAATCTGCCCCCAATACACCAAGTGCTTCATCATAAGCCCGATACAAGTGATTTGATTCACCGTGAAATAAGGCACGGGCTGCAGTTATGACCTCTCCAGCCCCTCCCACATCCAAATACGGTGTTGTAAGCGTGAGTAATCCGTGATGAAGTAAGGCTGTGTTATACCTGTTATAGACACAAAAATCTCTTCAGTTAGAACACAACCTTTAGCAGATATGTCTCTGTAAAAGGAATGAGCGTATTTTACCCAAACCAGACATGGATTCGACCTCACCAAAAAAATGTTGATATGCTTTCTATTGACATCCTTTGAGTAAGAAGGGTCAAACTTCATAAATAGAGCGAAAAATGATTAACCGATTGAAAATTCAAAAAATAATGCCACATACCATGGTCTCTTTCTTGGATCGTAATTTTTTAGCAAGGCTCCACCAGGAGTTTGTCTGAATACACCGTTAGCTGTACCTATGTACCTCCAGATCACGTACTGTGTGAAGTTTGTTTTACTGCGCAACCAAATATCATCCAGTTTCCAAGTAGCAGTCACCGAATCTCGTATACCACTTCTTAATTTGGAGTATGACTCGCTACCAGGTCGTTTCGTCATATAGTTGCCAAGTGACAGAACAGTTACATTGGTCTCCTGTGATCCTATATACGTGTACGGGTCTAAGAAGGCATCGGGGGCAAATTTCACAACGGTGGTGTCTGAAGAAAAGAGCAAATCAGTTGGATTGAATTAGCCAGGATTTGAATCTTTACCAGGCCCACCAGCTGTTTGGATATTTACCTTTAGCTGTGATATTACCAAAATATGAGCAAAGTTTCTTCGGCGGTAACAGGTCGATTCTGTGATACGTGAATGTGTAGCCTGATGGAAAAAACAGAATTAATATTTAATCTGTTTGGATCTGTTCTTTACTATAAATGTATCAATAAAGACCACTCAGACTTTGATTATTGACCGACAATAAAGTTAGTCAGTAACTTATTCGGACAGAGAGTCCAATAGGCTAGCGGAAAAACTAACAGACAGACAGGTAGTAATATAGGCACCAAGAAACAAACAGACAAACAGACAGAAAGACAGAATAACTCATGACCAACAGGCAGACACAGTCGGAAACACGCAATTGAGAATAAAAATTCGTAGTTAACAGTGTGTAGAATTTTGTTTACTTAACAACAAAACATTCACAACATCCATACCATGTGGGATCTGCAGAGGTCTTAACACATCATTCTTTAAAGAGGGAGGTATAACAACACAAACTGAAAATTCCGTCTCTAACACAGGATACCAGTGGTAAGTTGAATCAATAGACGTCTCCGTGACTCCATCTAAAGTAACACCTCCTTTTGGTAAATAGCGAGTGGCTTTGAATGATTTAGACCCTTTTGTGCCGCTGGTAAAGTAATGAAAACTTCGGATTAATGATTTTGAATATGAGTTTATACCAGGAATTTAAACGTAATTTATAGGATATTGGGCGAATATAGGAGTTTTTACTCACGTCCAGTTATCTCGAGCTTCAGCGACTCCCCCTTGAGTGCACAACTTCTTCGTAAATGATGTACCGAGCGAAAGCCCTCATCAGAACGAAGGAAAGAGCTCTTTCTCAAAAGTTACGTCTGCAGCCTATTTGCTAATATTTCTATTATGTTTATGATAATTATTTGTAGGTATCGATTTATTAGTGTTAATTCGTAAGTTAATGTACTGAATCAATCTAACCATATGAATTTATATGGCGCTTATTAAACTCCATAGTTTCCAAAGGGATAGTACGTAAACTGCTTTACATTTGCTTCATGCAGCATTGATATAATTGTCATATTTGATTACGAAATCTTTTCTTGTTGAAATATTATAAATGGTGCTCAAAGACCTCGGTACCAGGCAAGGCTATGAACAACATACTTCGTCATTGATTCAAAGACTTCCTTGAAGTCTGCCTCTGGTCGCTCAAGGTTCCTTATGTCCATATAAATAGGATCCCCATAAGCGTCAGCTGGTGCTGGGAGGAGTGGATGGATCAGGGTCCTTCCAGATTTAGTGATCATAAAAGTATAAGTGGTTCTTCCTTGCTTGAAATATTTGGTGAAGTCAGGCATTAGGTCTTCAATGTTAATGTCAGTTCCAGCAACACCTATGAACTTTCCATGGTTATAGCAAGCTATGGTGATAGATACCAGAAGTCCTGGAGAATAATTATCATCAGCTGATAAATAAATACATTGATGGAGAGTGCGTGGTGTCAAACCGTAAGGAAACGATATTAAACGAAGAAGAATTCAAGTCGACCAAGTAGAGCATGATGAAGCTAAAATAATGCAATTTCGAATAACTCCATGAAAATTTGTAACTCAGAATGGGTGATATTTGCAAGTAAGATTAATGCATCTGGTCACACTCATCTTTTTTTTTTCCTGACCTGTAATTTCAGTGAAGGGAGGCAGATGAAGACGATGAAAACAATAACAACAAACAGGAAGGACGATAATGGTTAAAGTATCATAATGCGGCAGGTGAAAAGGAAGGTGTTTAGTGCAAACAATGCAACGATAACAACTAAACCATAAAAGAAGATTAAGAAAAACCTGGTTAAGAAAGTAACACGCGAATGAGGAATATTTGGCGTAGTTCAAATTACATCTTGTTTTCAGCTTTGGGGACCGAACCAACTAAACATGTTCGTATTTTCTCAGTTTAACTTTCCGAAAGATCTACATGCTATTGTCTCAATATAGAAGTTTATTAAGTAATGGAGCTAGCCTTCTGTCTCTTCCTCCACCGCGAAGGATTCAGAACACAGACCTACCATTTGAACTAGAGATAACAAGAAAGGCTTTGTAGTATTGTGAGCCATGAAAAACATTCATATCTCTAAATCTATTGTTCACCATTACCAATTCTAAGGCCTATTACTATGCCTAACCTGTTCCCCAAGCATCAACATACGGAACAGAGACAATTGGTTGACTAAACTGTTCAGCAAACAGGTCATAATAAGTAGCCATTTTACTTCTCAGCGTTCTGATGTCTTCTATGTAGGTGTAACTTCCACGCTAAGGGGAAAGTAAACGAGACCGTTATTTAAATGCATTAACGTGATTAATTGATTACACAGCACACAGAGAGGCTGAAGAAATTGTGGCCTAAACTCTCTCGCTCTTGAGATCTTCATATTGCGCGCCTGTTTATTGCATTTCCTTTGGTACAGATCTGACAAGAGTAAACTTCACTAAATGTATTATTAAATACTAGAAATGTAGTTTTTTTTAATTACCGCTACGTCTCCAACAGATGTATTTGCCGCAACGCCATATTTTGTCCCGTTTTGGTTGGCAATGTGGATCAGAATGTCATCTTGGTTTTTATTGAATCCATATGTTAGAATGATGACGGAGTTGTTAAGCTCCACATTCCTGTCTCTTATTGTGACAAATAAATCTTTGATTTCGTTTGGCTCCGTTGGAGCTCCATCCGTGAGAAATAAGATGACCCTTTTCCTTTTTTTTCCCGAGCCTCTGGCTACTGATCCTTGCAGTAGGTCGAACGCTTTCTCAAAGGCTGGTTTAAACTTCGTTAACCCTGGAAAGCAACAAAAGTACGATTGAAGACTGATTTTGTAAAACGTCCGTGAGAGAGTGAGTCAAAGAAGTGATGCGAGGGCTTTTTGAAGATTCTAAACCATTATCTTTTGAACTCCGAGACCTGAGAAGTGAACTCACAGAATGAAAAACGTTTTAAGTTTTGAGCTTTGTCCTTCGATGACTGCATGTACGCAAGAACCCAGAACTCTATCGTCTAGTTTCCCAGGAAATAGTTCCAAATGACTTTTTTATCTTTCGTCCTTTAGCCTTAAAGGCTGGTAAATAAGTTCTTAGTCAATCGACAAAAATTCTTACCATTGGAGGCTGCCAGATTTGTCACAAAGTACTTCATGTTTCTTACATTTGGAGGTATTGCAAGGGCGAGTTGTTTACTGTAGCAGTTTTCACGGTCTGGAGTTTCCACTTTGTCAACAAATGACACGATACCAACCTATGGTAAAGATGATATTGATGGTCACGTGGTACCCTCACCTCTCGACAAACAACCACTATTTCACAACTGTCTCCATCATTGTTATTCTGGCCATGAGAGGATTACCTGCTCACCGTAAGTGGGGAAATGAATAAAAAAAACTATCTCTATGGAGGAGCCTAACCCTAAACCCAGCCTTTCAAGAACAATGTAGTGGTAACTAGCTTAGCAACCTGGTCTTTGGGGTTCAATGTATCCAGCACGGTTTTCGCAGCTTCTTTAGCTGTATCTAGTTTGTCTCCGACCATAGAAAAGCTTGTATCAATCACGAGCACCACATCTTTAGCTTCAGGCGTAGCAGTCTCCACATAAAATGGTCTGAAGCGAGGGTCATAACCGTCACACTTTACAGGGTCGTCATACGCTGGAAAGTTTGTCATGACACCCTGTTCTGATCCAAAATACTGCCACTTGACTGAAGGATATTCATCTGAGATGTCTTTCATTTCCTTCAAAATCGTCCTGTCTAGATGTATTGGATTTTTTGGAGCAGTTCCAGCGATCTTCAAACACATACTGTTAAGATTTACTTTAGAGCGGAACCTCACATCATACTTTAGTGTAGATTTGTCGAATTTACAGCACTCTGGAAAGGGTTCCTCTGTCGTGCCGTAAGCATGTTCGACAGTTTTTTTGAGCCGCTCTGCGATAGTAAATCTTGCCTTGAAGATATCCCTGAGTTTATTTGCCAGAGGAACGATATTGGTTCCTCGCAATTCTCGTTCGTAGTATTTGAGGCTATCAAAATACTCCTATGAAACAAAAGAAAAGAGTTAGACATATTTTTTCCTCGGCAAAGTTTCGAGCTTCAGAACTTCTTGGTTAATAAGCACAGTCAGGTCAATTTGGGTGATTTGCGACACATAGCGCTTGCGGCGACCAAAAATCTAATTCCAAGCGGTGCCGCTCCAAGACGCAGTTGACGAGGTGTTTGGGGGCTATTTTACAGATCGATATTGAAATAGACCAAAGTTGACGGATCTTAATCTTGAAATAAATCAATCAATCAATCGAACGAACGAACAATCGATCGTAAACTGAAACAATAATGCAACGAAGTTCTTTAAATCTGATGAAATGTTGCGAAATACATAAAAAAAATTTCATGTAAAAAGCTGGGCCTTAACGCCGATAACGAGATTAAAATGATGATAACTAATACAAACTACGTTAAAGTATCAAAAAATACAAGAATTTGGTGGCTGATTAACAGCCTATCGTTCTTATATAAATGGTAAGCGTTCACTGGCATCTGAAACAATTCTGGCCTTTAAATCTCAAATCAATTGAAAATAATTCATATATTTTCGCCCAATGCTGGAAAAATAAACCTAAGATCCGATTAAATAAACAAATAGAAACGTAAACAAACGGATAAATATTGTAGCTAGGTTCGTATCCAGGATAATAGAAATAATTAAACTCATCAATAACTAATTCATTAAAAATGAGCCTTCTGGCTGGTGTCCTTAACACTATTGCCGAAGTCGTATTTTCTCATTCACTTCAAGAGGGTATAAGGAACATTTTGTGTCTTGGCTTTCATTTCAACCTCCGTCATTCTTTGAGCTTGGTCATTGGTGCACTTAGAGCTTTGCATACTTCCCTAAATGCATTGCCATCTTAATGAGAGTATTCACAATACACTACCTGCACAAACATCCTGGTGGTAAGATGTTTTTTTTTTTTGTTTTTTTTTGCATCTAATCGTCGCTCGTCGCGGTTGTGAATTAAACTCATCACACTATTTGCTATTTCGTGACGATTTGATGTTGACATCTGGCTGTATAATTGCGAATTTGGCAATAATGGAACAAAATTAATGCAAGAGTTGAGTTGAATTAATTCAGCGATTCATCAATGACTTGAAATGGCGTTAAGTTCTACTTGCGTATTAATTAATTAAATGACGAATGGAAATAAATCTACCCAGCGATACATAATTTCCAGTTTGGAGCACCGGTTGAGGCGCTTTCTCAGGCGATTTCGAATTTGCTTTTTCTTAACATCGGTAATGCAAGAATAATCTCTGCAAAGCGCGAGCAACATATTTTTTAAGTCGTCAACATTTTAAAGCCTTATCACTATCTGTTTTGCTATCGCGTGAATTAAAAAGTCGTTAACATCAGACTGCTATGAAGAGGCGTATTCATAATGAGCCAAACAAACACTTTGCTAAGTCCTTAATTTCCGATGAGCTTACGAAACATATTAAAAGGATGACATGATAATTTCGAAAGAGTAAATATTATCAGTTTTCGGCTTCGAAAGTCGACTCGTTCACAAAAGGTAGCTGATTCTCAGAGTTAGATATTTGTTAGAGCTCGGTTATCAATTTATCTTCAAAGTTATGTTAAATTGTGAGTAGAATTAATTCTGCCTGCGGGGTGCTCTTAAATGTGATAAATATACTATGCAAAGTGGACAACTACTCACAACTTTATGTGGCCTTTTTACTTTCGCTTTGAAGACATAAAATTTAGTGGATTTCTTTTACTGAGAGCACCATGTACTTAGTTGGACAAGTTTTAGTGTTGGATCGATTCTAGACATCGATTGAATGCAAACAGTTAACAGGAAGGAAGAAATCAATCAACTGCAGCTTTAATCAACAGCACGTTTGTAGATCTCGTGACCTGGTTTCAATCTGAAATCTTGATGTTCCTAACTATATCTCATAACTTAGCATAATTAGGTCTTTCGGTGTGATTAACTGATTGTTGATAAACAAATATGAACTGTATGAACGGGCTACCACAAAATCTGCACGAGTCAAGTTTTACTAGCTTTGCGAGCATAATATTTTAAATCATGACGACTTCGTGGTTGTAAGATACGAAAGAAAAAGGGATTTGAGATGAATCATTTCCTCGACGCAGAGCCTCACAAGAGCTTCACCAAATTCAGCTCGGTTAAAGGTTTTTCACTGACTGATATTGCTTCACTCGATATTCTTGTTATCCCGTACTGTTTTCCGTTTCATCTATTATGAAAGTAGTTTTTTTTTTGCATTAATCAGTATTCACTTTCGTAACTCGTTGATTTAACAACGGCGAAGTTATGTTTTGTTACACGTACCTGCATCTCGTCAACACCGAGGCCCTCCTTCGCAAAGGTTTGTAGCTTTTGTCCTATGAAAGAGGGTTCGATTAAAAGACTTGCATAAGCTTTGGATGAGAACGACAAGAACGTAAGGAATATCAGCACAATCTGACGTCTAATTAGACCGCGAGCGCTGTGGACAGAAACCATTTTGAGATTCCCTTCCTCGTGTACGGAAGTTCCTTTTTAATGTTCGGCAAATAATTCTGCGAAACTATTTATGCGTTAGCAATTTGCATCTGAATGGAAGCATTATGAAGGGTATGTTAATTGCGCGACTATTTTGAACACTCTTAAGGCGTTTTGAAACCGCAGCAGGAAATTAGTGTAATGGTATTCTCTAACAAAACCCTCATACAGGAGCGAAACGGAAAAACTCCTCTCGTACGGGTTGAAAACCGAGGTTGAATGTACAACAAACGTAACCGTGAGCTTATCTATTGTAGCGCAGAATCTTAACCCATCTCTTTGGTTTCTTTTCATTCTGAGCCTGTCCGACAATTGAGGCACTGCGCTAACTTACTCAAGCGTATTAAGGCTTGGCTATCTAATTAAATGTGCATAATTTGTAAATGCTATTTTAATTGTTTTGATGCTCGCAACGATAAATCAAACTGATTTATAAATTTTTCTCCATAAAAAAAACAGGTTCCTCGTGATTTCAAATGTCATATGACATTGTTTTTTCAGTGACATCACAAAACACGTTTCCTCAAACGGAGTAAATTTGCAAACCTTAATCCCAGAGTTTTTTGAGACTTGTATGCTACAAAGACTGCGTAATGAATCTCTCCTGATTATGACAGTCGAGTGCTATAAGTCCGTTTCCAACATGCTTTGTTTGCAGTGATGTTACTGACTGCAAGACTCAAATGTCGTAAGTCTTCAGAGGTTGGTAAATTTCGCTTCTCCGATACAGTTAAGTCGTTCTCTTTGGTCAAATGTTATGAGTAAGTCGTCTGTAAGGCGTCGCTCTCTGAATGATTGTGGCTCTTCTAAAACGTGATCTATCGATCGATCGAGTTCCCTTATTATTTTCCCGTTAATTTGAGCATCACATGGGGCAATTGGAAGGATCCTGGCGAACATAAAGAAAGAAAGCTCGGCTTATTTCGAGTTAGGCATCTTTTTTGGATACACCTTGTGTAACTGCTATATTCTAGGCTGAAAACTCGAACTGGTTTTATTTTTTCCAAACGAGACAGGATATGGAACTAAAGTTAGACCTTAAGGAATGAAAGTCGTTCACAACAAATATCATTTAAGGAAACATGGGTTAGGAATGTACAGACTAAACAGAATCGACCAATTGCATTTTTATCTTATCTTTGTGTCTTTACAGTAAGCGACATTGTTACTCTTGGTTATCGATCAATGCTACCGTTACATCTGTTGTTTACATTAAGTTGGTCACCTAGTGATATCAAATTTTCTATTTCCAACACAGTTTATTTATTATGCTAATAGTCGATTATTGATTGTATTTACAGGCCTCGTTTGAACTTCGAAAATATGCTACGAAAAGAAAATACTTCCCTATTTTTCCCTCACCTATAAGAGTCCCTTGGAGTTGTTTTTAGCTCTCATTTTCATATTTGAAACAAGATATCCTTGAAATATGAGATAGCATAGATATTATATTACTTAGTAAATGACACCTCTCTTGGAGATGACTTTGTCGATGGACGCTGTTGATAAGGGGCAATTTTTCTGACCAGAATTACAAAATATGGAGAATTAACCTTGCAGTGAGAGAAATGCGAAGCGTTTATTTTATAAATCGTAGTAGCTTGTGCCTCAAACAGGTTCGATGCGATAAGGCTCGGCTAAAATTATTTAAACATATGATATAATATTTATAACACCTTATTAGATTAAGAGCAGGATCTGTGTAAAAATAGGGGAGGCCGCACCGTTACATATCTGGGAGAACGTATTACAGTGTCACCGGATCATTCTTTCGTTTACGGACCACTTCCGGTAGAGTGAAAGGATTATCAAGTTCTACTTAATGTAAACCCTTATGATAATGTCCATAGGGTGGTGCAGAAGCGTTAGGAAAAGATGGCGTTATCTGATCATAACTGGGAGGTGGTGGTATATTTACACTTGCGCTATTCTCAGGAAAACCAAACTTAGGTCTGTATGGATATCCTGGTGGACGGGTGATACACGGCAGTGCGTTGCGTTCCACCGCTGGAACCGGGGCTAAGAATGTAATCGGTTTTGGAAAATATTTTCTGTTACATTTAACAAAGATGAAAGTAAGCACAATAATGACAGCGATCGGCCCCAGAACAATACCAACAAAGGCACCTGCCGAGAGACCACCCTTATCGTCGTCATCTTCTGGATTGGTGGGGTTGGTTGGAATATTACCGCTTCCTGGGGCTCTCGTGCCTGCAGAATAAACAATTAAGTACATATATCAGTTGATGCACACTTCAGGAAAAAGTGTCTTCGAATAAACAGTTTAAGACATACCTTGTGTGCCACCATAGCAGGTATTGATATCTGCGCAGTATTTCTTGGAAAGAGGAGTATTGAACTTATCTCTAACGCACCAATAGCAGCCCACGACTCCGTCACATGACTTTGAATCAGGCTTCTTGTCACATTGTGGGTCGAAACATTTCCCTAAGCCATTTACTGAAGGATCATTTACTCGCTCAGAGAGAACAACAGTCGCTGGCACGGGACAAATGGAAATACTGCAAGAAAATAAAGCTGGTAAGCTTACATACAAAACCCGGTGCTATCAACTTTTCACAACATGATAAGCTTACTTGCTGGGAGGAAATTCACTCCTACAGTAATGGAATTCAAGTCGTGAGGAACAAGGGCATTCGCAAGTCAATCCCTTCACGTTGGAACATTCTTTGTTACTGGAGCAGCTGCAAGTCTTAGATGAACACGAGCCCTCCCTTGATATGATTCCTGTTGATGTAAAAGAGAAAAGAGACGTCCTCAGTGTAAATTGAATGTATTTTTTATTGTAAAACACCTGTCAGATTCTTTCCATCTCTCTTACCCAAAAAAGCATTACTTCCACCAACTTTCAAGAGCTGATACTTCTTGCAACGTTGTCCATTCTCAAGAGTACTCACTCCTTGAAATGGCAGCTTTAGCTCGTAAAAGCTCTGCAAGCCGATTTTCTCCAAATTTCGACATTCCTTCTTCACCAGATAACCTTTTTGTATCAGATCTTCGGAGATGTCTTTTTCTTTTTCTGTGATGTGGACATACTCCAGAGTTTTAGCTGTTATATCTGGCTGTAGGAAATCATTGTGCATGATTAGGAATCCAGCTCTGTCCAAAACAAAACAATCATAGCTGCTCTCCTCACACTTTGGGTATGTATCTGTTAGGAGTCTGAAACAAAAGTATTTAGTTATTATTAAGGCACAATCTAGAACAAGACAACCTCGGTTTAAACTTATTTAGCCTGGAAAGGAAGTCACCTCGGTACTTTAAGTATCTATGGTTGGAATACGAATGAATTGATCTGTTTTTCACAGAGTAAAATAGATACAAAGATATCATAGCTATGTAATAGAAGTGCGGTCTAAAAATTATGATACGCTTACTTTTGGAAGTATGATAGGGGAAAATCTGCGCCCATGACTCCAATAACCTGATCACTTGTACTATGCTGGCTGTTTGTCTCACCGCGGTAGAGGGTGTGGGCTGCAGTTATCACCACTCCTGCACCGAAGGCGTCTATATAGGGCGTGGAGAGGGCAACTGACCCCGTATTGCTGAGAGCGGTGTGATACCTAAAAAATGACAAAAGATGAAATGATAATGTGACATATCATATGGTAACTAAAGCTTAATCGCCCAATGGGATCGGAATGTGGGACCTTCGGGTGGATTATCATACATTTCTGTTTGTGAACTAATGATGTCTACACAGAGGATGGAAGACAAATCTTGGTTGACTCCAAAGACACTTTTTAAAGTTAAAAGACGATGGAAGAATGTGAAACATACTCCCAATGTAAATTTTACAACCATATACTACTTACCATGGTCTTTTCCTCGGATCGTAAGATTTGGCCAGCAAAGTTCCAGGTGTCATTCTGAAAACACCATTGGCTGTGCCAACATATCTCCAAACAAGATATTTAGTGTACTCCGTCTTTTCTCGAAACCAAATATCTTCCACCTTCTTGGTAGCTATGACTGTATTACGTATGCCAGTTTTAAATCCGGGGTTGATTGCTCTTGCACTTTTCATAAACCTTTCGTAAGCGTTCACTTTAGATACTGACTCATCCAGTCCAAGGTACTTGTATGGATCTGTAAAGGCTTCTGCACTAAACTTTACCACAGTTGAATCTGTGACAATAATAAAGGTTGTGATATTGCTCTATAATATGATGCAACAGTTAAGTGTCGCGATATCTTTTAAAAATCATTGAGCATAAATAGCAATGACGACGATAACATTTCATGGATGGGGAAGGGCGGGGGGCTTACAAACCTTTTGCTGCATATCTTGAAAAGTGAACGCATGGCGAATCCGGCTTCACCAAGTCCAAGCGATGGTATAAGAATTCAAAATCTGCGTAGAAAAGCGCGCAACATTTAAAGGTACAACAAACATGTACGTGAGGGAATTCAATCACAAAATAAAGTTGCATTTTAAGGATCTATAAGGTCAGTCGTTATCGAAGAGACATAAAGTCGGTCAATATCTTTCTGATAATTTGCATCTTTTCCAATGATGCTTTGGTTTACCGGAAGGAATAGTCTGAGTGTCCAGTGTTTCATCCTTATCGCCATCTTTAACCACAATCGTAACAGTAAAATTAGTGTGCTGAACTGGTTCCCAGAAATAGGTCGACCGATAAGTTGCAACTGTTACTCCTTCCTCCACTTGTCCACCACGAGCCAGGAAACGTTTTGATGGAAATGTTTTCTGTCCAGATTTACCACTTGGAAAAGAAAAAATAAAATCATTCAATTTTTTTATGTTCAACTTGTTAATGGTTGTTTCGTCTGAACTATATGAGATCTTTGTTTCTAAAACAAAAGAAATCGAATTCAAAGAACCTCGACTCGGACGAGATTTCCTGTACATTTCTTTTTTTAGAGAAAAATGTTTTTTCGTCTTGTCGCGAACGTGGGACAAAGAAAAAATTCTGAGTCCCCATGAGGAATCGAACTTCA